CCTGTAGTTGCAGCTTTAGAAGAAATACAGTCATGGAATTGTACAGACTCATCGTCTAATGCGTTCTTACTGTTAAGTGGAATTCGACAATCAAGTTTTATTATTTCACTATTGTGTGCAGAGAAACTTTTAAGTTATACTTTATCAATCAGTAAAATTCTTCAATCGAGTGATTTAGATATTTCAGAGGCTTTGAATAACGTGTAGTATTCGTTCTTCGTAAGATACGAAGTAATGTTGAAAATGAATTTAAAATAATTTTCGACGAAGCAAACGAAATTGCTAATGCTTTAGAACTAACAATTACTATGCCCAGATTAACAAAAAATCAAACCAAACGGTGCAATGTGCCAGCAGAAAATTAAGAAGAATATTATAGACGTGCCATTTTTATTCCATGGCTAGATTCTTTTATAAATAATATATCTGACCGATTTTTAAAGCATAAATATATTATTAAAAGTTTTAAGTGTCTTTTACCAACTGGAAATACTCATAATCAAACAGAAAAATCACAGTATTTAAAACTTTTAGAATTTTTTAAAAATGATATACCAGAAAATGGTGTTAACGCTGCAGTAGCCGAATTTGATTTATGGTATCAAAAATTCCAATGCCCAAATCATTCATTACCACATAATGCAATTGATGCATTAAATTTGTGTAATGATACTCTATTTGAAACTATATTTATACTTTTAAAAATATTCTCAACATTGACTGTTTCGACCAGTACAACAGAAAGATCATTTTCCACTTTGAGAAGAATAAAACATACTTGAGAAATACAATGAGTCAGAATCGACTGAATGGATTAGCTATGCTTCATATTCACAGAGAAATAGATGTTCAAACTTCAGAAGTACTCTCAGTATTGGGGAAAAAAGGACCAAGGTGTCTCAACTTTATAATTTAAAAGGTTAGACTTATAAAAAATAACCATTATATTATTCATAATTAAATAAATAATATTTATGTTTTACAGGTATAACATCAAGGCTACGGTGACACTTAAAACTGGGACAAAAATAAAAAAAAATTGTTAGTAAAAGATTTTAAAAAAACTTAAAGATTCCTGTACATATTTCAAAATAAATACTACCTATTAATATTAAAATTATGTGAATTTAGCCCTCCCCAAAAAAAAATCCTGGGTGCGCCCCTGGTCGTATATCATACTAAATAGATATTTTTTTATAATTTTATGAACGCGAGAAAACGAAATAACTTCATAGTTCACATGACAAATTAAATAGGTATGTCAGCAACTCGTGACACGCATGTGTGTGACGTAAGCATTTCTCCAACATGTTGAGCGGTGGAGTGGTGGTGGGGTCTTCGTCGTCGGCGGCTATTGCGGCAGTGATGGCGGTGGACCAATGAGAACCGGAGAAATGCTTACGTCACAGTACTATGCTGGGCGGAGGGTGGGTGCGCGATTTGTATCTAAACTGGTAATATTGCTGACATACCTATTTAATTTGTCATGATAGTTCATACTACATACAATCACCCCGCGTCCCCAAATAAATAACAGCAATATTGTAAACTGTATATTTTGGGAAGGTGTTTTGAAAGTGTTCCGGCAGAGCGCCCGCAATGAAACCTACATAAAAATAAAGGGGAGGAGGTGTTTAAAAAAGTGTAAAAATATCTAAGGGAACACTTTGACCAGTTTCGAGATATAAATTTTCGAAATGGGTACACCCGACCGTGTGCCCGGTAGACGGGCAATATGGGAAACCGCATATTTTCAAAAAAATATTTGAAAGTGTTCCGGCAGAGCGCCCGCAATGAAACCTACATAGAAATAAAGGGGAGGAGGTGTTTAAAAAAGTGTAAAAATATCTAAGGGAACACTTTGACCAGTTTCGAGATATAAATTTTCGAAATGGGTACACCCGACCGTGTGCCTGGTAGACGGGCAATATGGTAAACCGTATATTTTGGGAAGGTGTTTTGAAAGTGTTCCGGCAGAGCGCCCGCAATGAAACCTACATAAAAATAAAAGGGAGGAGGTGTTTAAAAAAGTGTAAAAATATCTAAGGGAACACTTTGACCAGTTTCGAGATATAAATTTTCGAAATGGGTACACCCGACCGTGTGCCCGGTAGACGGGCAATATGGTAAACCGTATATTTGGGGAAGGTGTTTTGAAAGTGGTCCGGCAGAGCACACGCAATGAACCTACATAAAAATAAAGGGGAGGAGGTGTTTAAAAAAGTGTAAAAATATCTAAGGGAACACTTTGACCAGTTTCGAGATATAAATTTTCGAAATGGGTACACCCGACCGTGTTCCCGGTAGACGGGCAATATGGTAAACCGCATTGTAGTATCATGCATAAAAATATTGTTAACTAGGTTAAGTAAACATTCAATGTAATACGATAACATTTAGTATAATTTTAAACATAGTCAGTAAGTGTAATGAAACTAGGTTAAACTTAATATCGATACTACAAATAGTGCTTCGATTGTAAATTATAATATTAAGAGGACGCCACACCCGCATGTGTTGTCTCCGTCTTACAAACGCGTAACATAGCAAATTACGTCCACGGAAAACAAACGAATCGGCATCAAAAAGTGGTTTTAGAGTAAAAATACCTATAATAAAACTTAAAGAGAACAATATTTCGGAGGGAACCTCATAGGGGTTTTGTATTAATCTAAATACACAGCTAGATATTGAAGGCACAAAAACTCTTTTTTTAAATTTTTTTAAATAACCACAACTTTCTTAATAGTTAATATTTTTAAAAACGCCTATGAGGTTCCCTCCAAAATATTGTTCTCTTTAAGTTTTATTATAGGTATTTTTACTCTAAAACCACTTTTTGATGCCGATTCGTTTGTTTTCCGTGGACGTAATTTGCTATGTTACGCGTTTGTAAGACGGAGACAACACATGCGGGTGTGGCGTCCTCTTAATATATAAGTAATATGGGAAGATAGATAGGAGGTCAGTCAGCGGTGATCGTGTGTTTCGATCGCCACTGGACGTAAGAGTTTTAATAAAAGTGCTTAATAATAATTGTTCTTTTTATTGTGTGCGTCTGTCAAACGGCGTATACGACAGTGGCGCCCAACGACAATCGTAATCCACGACCCGGAATTTTTAACATTTGTGTATTTGTTTGTTTGTGTATTTGAGTTTAATTTGTTTTAATTACAAGTACCTTTTTTTTGTGTGTGTTTTACACATATCGCGTTTTATAATTTGTCCATCAGATTGAACATTTACGGCGGGAAGACTACGAGCAATTGGGTCCATCATTTTGGAGTTTTACACACTCAAGGTGAATATTAGTGTATGGTTATATTTTGTATTTTTGTATGTATGCGATCTATATTTTACGAATAATTTTTTTTGTTTAACCAATTTTTTTTTTATTATTAGTGTTCATTTATTTATATTTAAATTTAAGAAGTAGTTATAATTATTTAGTTAGGTTTTTACATAGTAATATATATACCTTTTTTTTTTTTTTTATCAAACACTCCCAATAAATTTTTCTTACAATAAATTTAATAAAACTTCTTAATAATTTAAATTTGTAGGGATTTTAACAATATTATAAAGTAGGTATATAATTTTAGTTAATATAAGATAAACATAATTAAAAACCGTTAAAATGTCCAAGTATAGATTTAGGATTATTTAAATTAATTTTTCAAATTTTATAAATTAATGAATCAACTTAAAGACCCTAAATCGGATCTTTCTATAACAATAAATACCGCAACAGAAATCTATACTCTCAAAAAACCATTTCTAATTAAATATTGCGAAAATAAAAAATTAAAATCAACAGGTACAACTAGTGAATTAAGAGCTAGACTTAGTAGATACTTAAAAGGCACCATATCATTAGACGACATAGATAACACATTAAGCAAAGAAGAATGCGATTTAATTTTAATCAAAGCAAAAACTAATAAAATCGATTTTAATAAATTAGAAAAAGAAGCAGGAATACTCGATTCGAGCGATTCGAGCACTGACACAAATACAATTAATAAATTAACTTCAGACAGCTTTTCAGAAATATCAAAAGATAATTTAAAATTATACGATAATCTTAATGCCAGTACAAGCTCATTTGTGAATAACACCGAAAATATTCTAACAAATTCAGATCTAACTTACCAAAATTGTCAAAAGGAAAGTTCTGATACTTATGAAAATATATTAAAAAATCTTAAGATTAATGATACTTCTAATAATATTTATGAGGAAATAAAATTAAATACTCAACCAGAAAATAGTGAGATTATTGAAAATAAGTTAATAAATCTTAATAATTCAACAACTATTGATTCTGATAACACAAGTGAAAAACCAAAATTCAAAAACGAAAACACAGCAATAAAAAAAAATAATCAAAAAGGAGATAACCTAAACTCTGAAATTCATTCTACTCTGTTAAATAAACAAACACAGATAATGACAGAAAAAATTCTAATGATTCGACCAGACCAGTTCTCAGGTAATGAAGACGTAAGAAAATATTTCAAGCAATACGAAAAAGCAGCAGATGTAAACGGTTGGAAGGACGAAGATAAAGTAAGATTTTTATCGATATTCGTAAAAGGTACAGCAAGCATATTTTTGGAAAATTTGGAGGACAAACATAATAATTGGACATGGAATGATTTGAAACAGGAGTTTCTCGACGAATTTCAACCAATCGGTTACAATACAATTTTAAAAACTAGATTAGAAAATAGACGTCAAGGAGATACAGAGTCTATAATGAGTTTTGTAACAGAAATAGAAAATATATGTAGACAATTAAATAAAAATATGCATGAAGATGAAATTTGCACTTATATTTTAAAGGGATTAAAAGAGACAGTCTTACATGCAATTTCATTACATGACATTGCTGCTATTGCTATGAGTGACGGCCTGTGGCCTAATGGGAAGTACCAGACTTATGTCTTTGTCTTCCTGTATGATGTAATTCTCGGAGTTTTGGCTTGTTTATTTAGGTGTTATTTTTTGAAGTAGAAAGGTCTTGATTTACATATAGGGTCTTCTGGGTCTGGTACTCCTAATTTTTGAATGTGTGGGTAGAGGGATCTTGTGTTTTTATTAAACATTATCGTAGTGGCTTTCCTGGCATCTTCCTCTATTGACGGGATTTTAGTTATTGCGAGTAAGGATTTGTTTGACTGGTATGGTGGAATGGCTGTTATTGATCTTAGTCCTACGTTTTGCACGGCTTCGATCTTCTTCCAGTTTGACCTACTAATTTTAGGCCCCCATGCAGGTGCGGCGTAGAGGAGGATGGGCCTTATATATATTTTAAATAGAGATAGTCTTGCATTAATTGGGATATGGCTTTTGCTATTTAGCAGCGGATAGAGTGCCGCTCTTGATCGTTTGGCCTTGTTAATTGTGTCCTCAACATGATTGTGGAGACTTAGGGACTTGTTTAATGTTACTCCTAAGTATTTTGCATCGCTTGACCAGTTGATTTCCGTGTTGTGGATCGTAATTTTCTTTAATTTAGTTGTTGCTTTCGTTCCAAAGAGAATTGCAACTGTTTTGGAAACATTTAGTCGTAATCTCCACTGAGTGAGCCATCTCGTTGTTATGTTTATTTGCCGTTGTAGTCTTAGTATAGCGTAGGTAGCGTTTTTGTTGCTAGTGTGAAACATAGTGTCATCCGCAAACAGAGATGTTGATACCTGTGGTTCGGAAGGTAGGTCGTTGATGAACACGGTATACAATAGTGGGGATAAGCATGAGCCCTGCGGAACGCCTGCTTCGATTTGCCTTGTTGTTGACTGGTGGTGGGATATCTTGATAAAGAATTGTCTATTGGTCAGGAATGATTTGATGAGTTTTACCAAGTTAATGGGTGTTCTCGTACCGAGGAGTTTGTGTATAAGACCGTTGTGCCATACCCTGTCGAATGCTTTTTCCATATCTAAGAATAGTGCTGCAGTACGCTGTTTTCGGCCTTGGCTGACAGATAGGTCGTCAATTAGTTTTGTTAGTTGTAGTGTGGTGGAGTGTCCTGTTCTGAAGGCATGTTGTTCTGGACGAGGTTCAATATATTTTTTCAGTCGGAACAAGATTAATTTTTCGAGAATTTTTGACATTGTATTGAGTAACGATATTGGACGATAGTTTTCTGGAGCCGAGTGGAGTTTTCCTGGTTTAGGAATCATAATTACAGCTGCGGTTTTCCAGTATTTCGGAAAGTATGAGTATCTTAGACATGCAGTGTATATTCTGGCAAGAGTTATAATTGATGAGCTGGGCAAGTTTTTAAGGGTGGTATTGGTTATTTGATCCATGCCTGGAGCTTTGGCTTTTGGTAGTTTCTTGATGATATCTAGGACTTCATTTGGAGTGATATAGTCGTTGTTTGGTGTTTGGTCGTCGTTGATTATTTGGATGGAGTGTTCCACTTCTTTGTTTGGAGGACCTGGATTATTTGAAAATTGAGTACTCATCGTGTCCGCAAAAAGTTCAGCTTTCAGTTTTTCGTCAAAGATACGTATTCCACTTGTTGTTTTCAGTGGAGCGCATGCCGGTTTTTTCCGTAGTAACCTGCGGTTTAGCTTATAAATTGATTTGTCTTCGAAATTTAAAGTCTGAGTAAAGGTATCCCATTCTTCTTGCCTGTGGGTCTGTAATAGTTTTTTAACATAGTTGATTTGTGCGTTGTACATTTTCTTGTATGTTGGGTCATGGGTTTGTTGCCACCGTTTCCTTAGGATGCGTTTAGTTTCTATTTAATATATTCCGGTGAGATGGGTGTCCTGTTTGGTTGATTTAATAAGGAGGAATTGTTTGAAAGAGCTTTTTGTATGGATTTTGTTAGTTTCTCGATATTGTCTTCAATCTCCTTTGGATTAGTGATGGCTTGGTGTTTGAGTGGGTGCATTGTCATTTCAGCCTTAAACTTCTTCCAGTTTATTCTACGATTTGCTAGAGGAGGTGTGTTTGTTTTAGGTGATTTGTTGATAGTAATTAGGATTGGGTTGTGATCTGAAGAGAGATCGTTGAAATTTGATATTGTCATATCTTGTTGCAGGTTTGTTAGTGTAATATCCAGTACATCAGGGTTGTGGTGTGGTATAAATGGAAAATGGGTTGGTGAATCCGGAGCGCAAATGGTGTATTGACCGTTCCTTTCCATATGGTCCAGTAGAATTTTCCCCGTCTGGTTTGTTCGTCTGCTGTGCCATGATGGGTGTTTTGCGTTTAAGTCGCCTGCTATAATAAAGGATTCGGTACCATTGGTTAGGGCATCGATGTCTTTGATTTCAATCTTATCTCCTGGACTTTTATATACTGCCGATACACGTACGGTTTTTGCGCCTATTGCCATGGCGATAGTGGTGGAGTCTAGTTTTGTTTTAATGAAGATTTCTTCATGAATTATGTTATTTTTTACTAGTATTGCTGTGCCACCAGATGAGGGGCACTCAGGTTTGGGTGGACGGTCTGTTCGATATGTGTAGTAGTTTGGTAATTTGAGAGGGGCTGTTTTGTTTAGGCGGGTTTCCCCGAGTAGTATGATGTCAATTTTGTTTTTCCGAGTGAATTCTGCAAGTTCGTAAGTTTTGTTTGTTATACCATTGCAGTTCCATTGTAGTATTCTCAGTTCATCCATCTTGGTTTAGGGAAACTGAGTCTATTATTGACATTATTGTAGATAGGATGGTTTCCTTGGCAAAGTTGTCTACACAGTCTTGGATGGTAGAAAGGAGTTGTTTAATGATCTTTAGTATTTGGGTAGCGGATATCGTAGGTTCTTTTGCTGTAGTTGGGTTTAGTGTGTTTCTAATGTTATCTGGATTGTGACTTCCTGTTGTATTTTTGGTGACAGCTGAGTATGTTTTGTGAGACGCAGGTTGTTGGCTGGTGTTCAGGTCGTAGGTTTTTGATAGGATTTCAGTGGGTTTATTCTTCTTAAACGAGTTTTGTATTTGAGTGGATTTTTGTTTGACGATCTCTGTATATGAAGGACAGCCTCGGTAGTTGGCCGTGTGGTCTCCATTGCAGTTGCAGCAGGTGGCTTTTGTATCTTTATCTTTAGTGCATGCGCTACTAGCGTGATTGTTGCCACATTTAACACAGCGAGGTGTGTGGCCGCATTGTAGAGAAGAGTGTCCGAATCGTTGGCATGAAAAGCACTGTGCTGGGCCGGATGATCTGTACGGTTCTACTATGACTTTAACGTAAAATAGGTTGCTAATAGTGAAAATGTCTTTAACATTTGGTGAGCGTTTTAAGGATACCATATGTATTGGGATTCTTTTGTCGCCTTTTTGGAAAGCACGTATAAAATTAGGTTCAAATCCGATATCAAAAAGTTCTTTAGAGAGCTCGTCTTCGGTTACGTCGATAGGGATGCCTTTAATTGCTATTTTAAGAGACTTTTCTTGGGGGAGAGCGAAGGTGTGGTAGTCAATCTTGTTTCGGTCAGGATTTTTGAAAGGCGGAATGAGGTTTCTTCGGGACAGTTTAGTTGGATTTGCCAAGGAATGATGTGGTTTTGCAAGATACTTTGTCAAGGCCTTGTATTGAATACAAGTTTTTTTTTCCGCCATGGGTTTTCCTCGCATGTTTGAATAAGGATCGGTTTCGAATTAATAACAGAGGACCAGAATTAAGTGATTATACAGAAATGCTTAATGAACACGTATCTCAACTAAACCAAAAAACAAAAGAAAAAGGAAGAGAAATCGATGAACTAAAAAGACAGTTAATAGAGAGAGATAGAGAATACAAAAAGGAGATGAACCAGTTAAGGGAAATATTCAACAATCAACATTACGGAAAGAAGAAATAAATCGGTAAACTTCAATGATGAAGAAATAGATAATCGATATAATAATAAAAATTATAACTATAATGAAGATAGGAGCAGAAGTTATAATAGAGAAACAAATTATCGAGGACGACAACGTGAATACAAAGATAAAAGTCCATACCCAGGAAGATTTAATGACAGAAGTAGAGAATCTAGCAGAAATAGACAATATGGTAGAGACAGATCACAGTCCAGAGAGAGACAATATTACAACAAAATACAAAACGAGACTAATACATATCGAGATTACGAAAGAAATCCAAGCCATAGATATGATCCAAACAATTACGAATATAGAGATAACTCACGTAATAGAGAAGCTAACTTAAATACAGTGAACGGTAGAGGCTATAGAAACAGATCACATTCAAGAGATCGAGACAATAATGGAAATTACAATTACAACTACAGGCATCAGTACAGCAGAGAACATAGTCGAGAGAACACCAGAAAGATACAGGGGAGATCGCTATAATAAAGAATCGGAAAGAGTTACATGCTATAGATGTAATGAAAAAGGTCATTATGCCGATAAGTGTACAAATACAAAAAACTAGTAGGTACCGAGTTGAAAAAAAAAATCGGATTGTTTAACTCGGGAATATAACTGTAACAATTTTAATGACACAATAGGTATAGAGAAAAATAATTATATACACTACGTAAAAAACTGGCACAGCACACAAGAAACGAAGAAATGTATAATCAACAATTATCAGAACATTGACCTATTAAGAAATCATAACAAAACTGTTATAATAAACAACATCGAAAAATACAATTCAGCAATTAAATATAATACTTCACAAAAACATCACAAAAACGAAGGTGAAGACGAAACTGAAAGAAAAATTAAACATACCGCTGGCTCATTCATAAAAATACAGGAAGTACCTTGCGATGGAGATGATGGTGCACATTCACTACGGATTTGTTTACTACAACATGGAATAAAAAAAACTACCTTAGAAATAATTAACATGCTGACTATTGATAAAATAAACTCCGGTTACAATTTTAGAGACGACGACTTAGCGTATGTTTGAGACCATTTTGGCATGAATTTATTTATAATAGCTGAAAAAAATGACACTTCAAATGCTATAATTTATTGGAAAACAAACAGGCCAAGTATAGGCATTTTTTATAAAAATAATCACTGGATGCCGGCAGTCGAAATAAAAACAAATGAACCACAAATATTCTCAAATATAATAGTTAACACAATTTTTCCCGAACGTAGCAATATCATTGAACATGTACAAAACTACATGAATAAATATGTAGACCATACAAAATGCACAGAGACAAGCACAAACACCGGGACTGAATATGATAATAAACATAGAGTATTGTCAATAAATGTAGAACACGAAGGAATTGAGAAACACGCCATAATTGATACAGGATCAAATATTTCATGTATAAATGTTTCGCTAATCAAAAACCTTCAATGCATAAAAAACAAAGAACAAGTTACGATAACAGGCGCAAACAATTCAAAATTGGATCAAGTGGGAAAAATAAATTTAATGATTAAAATAAATAATCAGCAATATTTTATTGATGCATTTGTTATAAAAGGGCTAAATTGCGAAATATTATTGGGGAATAATTTCAATATTAAAAATAATTTAATAATAAATTTTAAAAACAAAAACATAAAAATCAATAACGATGTCATAACGATGAACGAAGTATGGTATAACTATTACAAAGAGAATAATAATTCAAACAACAGAGAAAGCAAATATAACATAGCCAGCATAAATTATAATACAAAATATATTGGAAAAATCATATGTAAAGACAATATAACGATATCACCTAAAAGTAAAATAAATATAAATACAAAAAATATGTATATAGAAACAAAAGAACAAAACAAAAGTTATGTAATAGAACTTAGAGAAAGTTTAAGCAAAAATAAGTATTTAAAATTGGAATCAACATATTTTAACATTGATGACGGAATCACAATTTACAATTTTTCAAAATTATATAGTAACATACCAAGAGGAATGACGATAGCGAATTTAATAAATACTGACACACCAAGGGTACAAGACGACACAGTATGTGAGCAAATAAACACCACTAATAAGACACCAACAGAAAACTATATTGACGATAACATTGAAGAAATTATGGATAAGCAAGGAAATGTTATTAAAATATCACAGGAATTAAATACTGAACAAAGAAAAAGGGCTTTAAGACTTATAAACAATTATAAACATTTATTTACATCAGATCCTTTAGACATTGGTTGCGCCAAGGTTAGAACATGTGAAATTAAATTAAAAACAGATAAAGTAATATTCCAACCACCATACAGAGTTTCACCTGCACAAAGACATAAATTGAGAATTCTAATTGAAGAAATGATAAACGCAGACATAATAGAACCTAGTAAAAGTAATTACGCTGCTCCAGTATTTTTAGTTCCTAAGAAAGAAAAAGGGGAATACCGATTCTTAGTAGACTATAGGAAATTGAACAACGAAACGATACCCGACAAACACCCAATTCCACGATCACAAGATCTTTTTAGAAGCCTGGAAGGGGCTCAATATTACTCTTCTATAGACATGGCCCAGGGGTATTTTCAAATTCCGATAAAACAAGAGGACCAAAATAAAACAGGATTCATAACAGATTTTGGACTTTTTAATTTCAAAAGGATACCACAAGGGTTTAAAAATTCAGCACCAATTTTTCAAAGAATAATAAATAATGTATTCAGTGACTATCTGTACAGGACAATGATAGCCTACCTAGATGATATATGTTGTTTCGGAACCAATTTTGAAGAAGCGCTAACTAATTTAAAAGATATATTCAGTAGACTGGAAGAAGCGGGTCTAAAATTAAAAACAAATAAATGCAATTTTTTTAGTTCAAATATTGAATTACTTGGACACTCAGTATCAAACATAGGCATAAAACCATTAGAAAAAAATATTAAAGCGATTACTTCATTTCCAACTCCAAATAAAATAAAGGACGTAAGAGCCTTCATTGGACTTACAAGTTATTATAGGAAATACATTAACAATTTTGCAAAAATAGCAAATTCTTTGACAAGCTTAACAAAAAAGGATAATACATTTGTTTGGGGAAAATAACAGGTAGAAGCTTTTGAAATTTTAAAAAAAGGCCATAACCACAGCACCAGTTCTGGCACATTTCGAAGATGGATACCCAGTTTTTGTTACCACTGATGCTTCGCTAGAAGGATTGTCTGGTATACTGGAACAAGAAGACAACAACGGTAAAAGGCATCCTATAGCCTATGCTTCTAGAAAATTAAAAGGAGGTGAAAAGAACTATACAACTACAGAATTGGAAATGTCGGCTGTAGTATTTGCGACAAACCACTTCAGAGAATATATCTTAGGGAGAAAAATAACTGTGTTTAGCGATCATTCCAGCTTACAGTATTATCAAACGATGAAAAACCCATCATCTCGTATTACAAAATTTATTTTTAAACTCTTAGAATACGATCTTGAAATAAAACATCGCCCAGGCTCATGGAACACGGCTGCAGATTGTCTCTCGCGTTACCCCGTTAATATAACGAAAATTTCTGATATGTTAAACGATGACGACGACAAAGAAAATATAGACACAATTAATTTCGACACAATAGAACCTGAGACACTGAGAACATTACAGTCAACAGACGAATATTGTAAAAACATAATTTTATCCTTATCAGGAGATACTAAAAATAAATACTATAAAAAATCCAGAAAATATATTATTAAAGACAAACTACTATACTTCAAAAATTGGTCACCACATGGCATAAAATATTTATTAGTTATTCCGACTAATTTGGTAAATACTGTCTTAAAGTCCTACCACGAATCCGTTTTTTCAGCACACTTTGGTATTACGAAAACTTTATCAAAATTAAAAGAAAAATATTACTGGCCAACCATTATACAAGATACTTATTCTTTTATAAAAACATGTACATCATGTCAGCTTTCCAAAAAGCCTCCAGGTAAAAGCAACGGACTACTACAACCAATACCTTTAATTTCGGGAAAGCCGTTACAAAGACTAACATTTGATTATCTAGGCCCATTACAAACGTCCAACGGAAAAAAATATATGATTGTAGCAACCTGCAACGCAACAAAGATGGCCTTTGCGAAAGCAGTTACGAATGCAAACGGAGCAGCCACGATAAATTTCCTTATTTAACTAATAACATCTTACGGAGTCCCTAAATATTTTTGTAGTGATAGAGGCACTCACTTTAAAAACAAAGAAGTAGAGTATGCATGCAAAAAACTAGGAATTGAACAAATATTCTCAAGTGCCTACCATCCACAAACGAACGGTATGACTGAACTAATGAATAAAATTATTTGTAGTAGCCTAACGCACTACGTAAATGAAAATCAAAAACAATGGTCCTTATACTATAAAATGGTAGTTTTTGCATATAATACTTGTCCTAGCTCAAGACTAAAAGTCAGCCCATTTTATTTACTACATGGCATGGAAGCTAATCAACCATTGGACAACAAATTAATGTCTGGAGAAAAAGAAACATTTAATCTTACAAAATCTCTAAAACAATTACAGATAATTAGAGAAACTATACCAGGAATAATAAAAACGAACAATCAATCCAGAAAAAGTTATACGATCAAAAACACAAAGACATTAACTTCAAACCAGGACAGAAGGTATTAATACAATTCGATTTTAAGGAACCAAACAAAACAAAAAAGTTAGCTAACAAATATAGAGGTCCTTTTACGATTGTTGAAAAATTAACAGAGGTAAACTATAAAGTAGAATTAATTCTAAATAAGAAAAAGGTATTAGACGTTATACACGTACAGCGAATAAAACCTTTCCATGAAAATTTATAAATTTGAATAAAAATTACATATACATTCTTATAAGAATTAATTTACAATATTAAACCAATTACCAATCAATGATCTGTTCTAGATGTTATCCAAATATATTTTAATTCTCATATCAATCACCAACACATGTGCTGAGGAAGATATAGCTATAACCCGGAGCATTTTTCGAAGAAATCCAAGAAGCCATCTTATACGACAAAAGTATTCCTCTGGTATACACGCAAGAAATCCAAGATAACAATTCAAACAACATCAATTATAGCTGGGGGGTACAAAAATATTGTACAAATAAAAACACCAATTATTGTAATATTATGAAAGAAACGTTAGAAATCCTAACTACCATAAATAAAAATATAGAGGACAACGACAAAGATATATTAGAGATCATAAACCTCAACCTTAAAAATAATAGATCAAAGAGAGGCATACAATTATTCGGGAACCTGTACCATTTCTGTTGCAATATAGCTACTGAAAAACAATTGAAAAATATTTATACGAACGAAGAAGCGTTAAATCAACAAATTAATAAATTTAAAGATGTTTTCGTATCAGATCATAGAGATTTAATTAATATTACAACCGAATTAAACAAATATACTAAAAACACAAATAATAATATAAAACTATTAAAAGAAAACTTCATCAAATTCACAAATGAGGAAAAAACCAATAATTTAATAGAAAAAACAAACCACGAAAACACAATTCAAGGTATCCAAGAAATAATATACAACCTCATAAAAATAATATTAAAATTCACAAATTATGAAAGAGACACTAGTACTCACTTACACTGTAAGTTACAAAAAATACCACCAAGAATAATAGAGTCCAAAACATTGTATAATGACCTCATAAAACTAGAAAACACAATAAAAAAAGATGGGTACGAACTGACCATTCCGTGGGAAAATCTTTCAGCGTATTATAATTTACCTATAGCTGAGTGTCAATTTTCAAAAACAAAAATTCTAATAAAAGTAAAAATACCGATCCAAGAAAGATTTGCTAAATGGAAATTGTACCAATACATACCGATACACTTCAAATTTCATGACTCTGTCTGTCTTATACATTCAGAAAAAACAAATATCGCAAATAATTATATAAATGACGAACATAGGATTATTTCAGGAATTGGACTACAACATTGTGATCCACCCATTACTGATTTATGTTACATCCCAAAATTCTCGTCCGATATCACCCTCTCACCAAAATGTGTAGAAGCAATATTTAAGAACCTACCATTAGACGTAATTAATCAATACTGTTATTTTCAATGTGTTAAACAACAAGGTGAAGATTCTACAATAATTAAACAAATAGGAATACACACCTATGCACTAACAAACCCACAGCCAACTCTAAAAATAAAAATTGAAAAGTTAAATACAACAATTATAAAAGAACTTTACATAAACTATAGCTATCCAGGGTTAATTAAAATATCGTTCCCATGTAATTATGAATTATTAAAGGACGAAAAGATTTTAATCCCAAAAATGTACCCATGTGAATCTAATAACCTAAACAAATTCAAAATTAATAGAATATTACCAGTATCTTGGACAAAAATTAAGTCATTAAAAACCAATTATGAAGAAACCAAAGATAATAATATGTACTTTACCAATATGTCAGAAATATTAAATACCGATTGGACCAAAGAAATACCAAACTTTCACGTCACTAAACAAATACCAAACATAGATAAATACTTAAATGATATCATCCTAAAAAAAATTAACAAACCATTTGTAGATGAATTCTTAGGAGACATCATATAATTAACATGGCTAACAATCCTCACAATCACAATAGGTTTCATTATTTACAAAATTTATCCTGTAATAATTAAAAGCGAATTTATGACCTTGCCACCACCAATTCCACCCAGAAATGAATAATAAAAAAAAATATATTAATAAAATACTCAATACATATTATATACAATATACATAAATATTTATACCCATTTATTTAGATAAAAAAAAAAAGTATAAATTATACTGTATATGAATAATTATAAACTAAAAATTAAACTAAAACATTATATATATATACAAAAAAAATGTTAATAAATCTAATATCTTATATTGATATATTTAATTTAACTTTTTATCTCTAGTTCAGTCATCTATTAACTATTTTTTTCCTTTCTGTCTATAAAAATTATTAGTTTTTAGAAATGTATAAAATATAAATTATATTTAGCACATATCTACATAAATATACCGAAATATTTTATCTAGTGTAACTTTAAACATACCAATATCATAATTAATTACATACGTATCTATTAATATTGTGAAATTATAGTTCAATAATACTTTTATTAAAACTGCATATAATTTTTTTTCAATATAATGCTACATTGTTTTTGTGTTCATTGTTTACATTATTGAGGTTTATAATACTTTCATCATGTTAAATTTTAAATTTTAAAACCTAACAAAAATTGTTATTACTATTATGCTTTTGCTGTTTCAGCATATTTCTAATTTTAATATGAAACTATCTGTTCAATACTTCAATCGATTGTTAAATTGTTGGTATGTAAGCAAATTACTGTGATTATACATTTATAAGTATCATATTATATAACTTTTAAATAACACCTTTATTTGGCATCTTTAACAACATCTTATTATTTGTATACAAGAATATTGTAAAATTTCACTTCTATTCAAAATTATTTATTGTTTTTTTTTTAACATTTGTAATCATGTTCTCATATATTATTTACCATTTACCTTATGGTTGACCTGAGTTTTATAGTCTTATTTATCAATTATTTGTAAAACTACATAATTTTACATACTGTTTTTTTTTATCAAACCTTGGCATTGACAATTATAATAGATTAAAATACATGTGACGAAATAATAAGGTCAAGCGATTCAAACAAAAATCATCGTCCATCGTCCATCAGAGATACACCGATAGGTACACAAAAATGTTCGACCAATCTAAGGACTGGAAAGAAGACTTCTAAATCTATATCCAACGACCAATTCTTTGAGAGAAGACCAAAAAAGGCGTAAAAATATTAATTTTTGTTGACCACGTAACTCCATCACCATCAACTTCTATTTAATTTTATATACAAAACCCATATATAATTTAAATTTCATTCTCAACTGCAATAATTACTTAAAAATATGAGGACATATTTTGTGTTACATAGGGGTGTATATTATAGTAATTATATGAACAGATTATTTGATTTTTATAAATAATGCATTTTATCTTTAAAATTAAAAACAACTGATTTATTATTATAGAAACAATATCCCAAGATTTTAATTCACTTAAAAGGTGATAAGTATGCACAAATGGAACATATTGTATTCTATCTACAATTAATAATTATTGAAAAATTCTATGTTACCTGGAAGTTGTATATTTTTAGCTGCTAACTGCATTGATGGTATGAATGTACAATTTTAATCCTATTATTACTAAGAAATTCATTGAACTCACAGCTAGTACTCAACCACTGACAAATTATAAATATTATACTATATGTAATATTGAAATGTGGTAAATTGGGTTTAATTTAATACAAATATACTTTGCTTAGCCGCAGCCCGCAGACCATCTCCAATCTAACATTTTTTATTAATTATTTATATTATTATTTTTATTATTTTCACTAGGTGTCTGGACCGGGTACAAAAGAGAGGAAACATCATTGTTGGCCGAGATCAAAGTTCATTGGCTATTTCAGACAAACATTGTAATCAGTAGAAAGATGTGTACAGTGCTTGAATTGAAAAGAAGGGGGATGCAGAAATATAAAAAAAATGTTATACTGTAATATTTAAATATCTTAATGATTACAGATCAAGATATAATTAGAAAAGAAATTTTACACTAAAATATATTTAAGCAGGGGTACTCCGTCCCCCTTTCCACAATTCAAGCACTGGATGAATAAGAAAAATGCAAGACGATTATAATTAATAGTTTTTATATTAAATTTTTTTAAGTAGCCATGCCACATGCACTGCCGCCGCCTCTCTTATCACCACCACCACCTCGCCGACGCAGCTCCCGCTGATATCTCCCAGGACGCGGTTTCTTGGCCTGGCACAGCTTCATGTACTGGAGAAGCTGTAACAATGTTATTGATGAATTAATATAATGTGTCATGGCATCATAGTAGTAAATATATTAGAGATCAGCACACTTCCTAAATTAAAATATATAGGTAAGGCCTGGTCGGGTTGGACTTAAAATAAAAAAATAACGACTAGGCCTGGTAGGTACAATTTTTTAAGTCAAGTAAATTGGCCTAAAAAAGACGACCAGTGCTGATCTCTACTAAATATTACAATAAATTAAATCTCACCATTTGCATGTTTGGATTTTTGCTTGCGCCAGACCGGGGTGGCCGGATGACACCGGTGACATGCTGCGCCGACTTGGGGAAGTGTTGGTGTTGGACGGCGACCTCCTGCTGCCGTAGTCGCGGCGTTGATGGCCGTCGTCGCGGCCATATGACCTGCCGTGGTGGCGCCGATGGCCGTCGTCGCGGCTAGATGATCTGCTGTCGCGGCGCCGATGGCCGTCGTCGCGTCTAGATGACCTGCTGTCGCGGCGCCTATGGCCGTCGTCGCGGCTAGATGACCTGCTGTCGCGGCGCCGATGGCCGTCGTCGCGGCTAGATGACCTGCCGCCGCGGCTAGGTGGTATGCCGCCGTCAACAACTTCGCTGGGAGGTGAAATATTTTGGATGTCCATGGTTCTTTAATTTTAAAAATTTAATATATTAATTAAGGCTATAATTTTAAAAGTGTATTCAATAATTAAATTTATTCATTTTAAGTCTAGTTTTAATATTTTATATCATATAATTTTAAATTATTTCCATTTATGTACTTATATATTATAATTCTAATGACATTTTGAGAATAATTAGACTGTTTAATGTTAAATAAGTATATTTAAATGTTTAAGCCTCTTACATTTACCTAGCCCATGTCTGATGTCAGTACCAACAGTGAGTATACGAGTACACAATTTTCAGTATATTTACTTATTTTTTAACACTATACAGAAAACTAACGTTATTATTTTTACATTTTTACATTAAGTCTTAAAAATCATCTAACAATGAATATTAAGGAACAGAACATTTTAAAATGTAATATTTTTTTTAGCTGAAAACCCAAAATGTATTAAGTAAAGTAAATTAAAAATAAAAATTTTTATTTTCTACTTTAAAAAATTTGTATGAGAAATTATCAATTACTAGTAAGTTGTTAAAATCTGAAATACCTAGTAAAGTTTTAACTTTTCATTCAAATTAATGAGTTAATTAAAAAATGTTGACATTTCAAAAAACAATAAAAATAAACCACTTGAGTCAGACAAATGTTTTTACAATCAAGTTTTCAAAAACCAGATTTAAAAATTAGTTTTTTTCAAAAAAAGTTTAAATTTGATTTAAAAATGTTTAATTTCCGTAATAAATATAAAAATAAAAAATGGTTTATTGTTTTATGATACATGTAGCGCAAACGTCAATAAATGTTATATAAAAAAAATTTAATTATATAGTAAAAAAAAATTAAAAGTATAATACTTACAACAAGGATACGAACTAGAGATGACAGTGGACAAGTGCTAACAGTCAGACAGTAGAATGATAAATGGAAATCGACGAGTGGCGGCCAGCGAGAGCTTACTGTTTTTTGCGAAACGAATATCCCCACTCCCTGTTTTAGTATTAATACTTAATACTTAATAGTACAAAAAGCCTGATCTAATACGTAATGTTTATATTCCATATTTTGTCAATTGTCAGGGATACCATTTCCAAAGAAAAAAAACCGTCAGGAGTCGTAACTTATGACTAGAGACCGGATTAATTTAACTATCTTATAATTTTTATAAACTGTTACTATTATTTTTTTTTTCAGTAGTTATATACATTTTTTTCAAAAAAATAATATTTATGCATGGGTTCTTATATAAGATTATTTTGTTGAAATTATTAGGCATAATCATAAATTGCATTCAACTATCATAATATTATTACTTAACTTTACACAAAAAAAAAAAGGCCATGGGGGGATCTATCCCCCATATACCCCCCCCCATAAATACGCCACTGAGTAGTAGCTTCCGCCTTCCTATGCGTACCGGCTTCGGTCTCAAAATTCGAAGTTCAACTGTCGTCTTTATATTCCCTATCATAAATATATGGTAATTATTTATAGTTGATTTAAAAATGTGCCATGGTGTACAATTATTTTTAGTTTTAATCGGTTGATTTTTTCGATCTTATCAAACATTTTTAAAATATAATATATGTAACTGAATAAGTTAGAAATGTTTAATTTTATAAATTACCTTAAATTATAAAATAAACGGTAACATTTTATTTATTAAAAAATGATATATTTAATAATTTAAAATTACACAACAATTAGGTAGTTAAAATGAATGCTGTAAGAATAAATTTTAACTAACTATGTACGTATATTTCATAAATATTTTGCCCTCCCCTTGACAAATTCCTGCGGACGCCCTTGGTCGAGATGGCTGTTCAAATAATTATATAATATAATGTACACTTAAAAAGATATTGGTTCCACATCGTATATTACGCCCAAAAGGAGTTGAACAATCATAATATATTTTACAGGTAACGAAACAGTTAAGATAAGATTTGAACAGTTTTACAATACTCCGCATGCAGTTAAAATTACTCTTCATATAAAAAAAAAAACGTTGCAAGTTAAATATACAGGAGTTTTGGAGCCACGAAACAGCCCAACAATTTGCAAACAACTATCCACGGGGGCGGAACACGCGGGTGACAGTTAGTTATTTCTAATTTTAATTAAAATTTGTTAATTCACTACCTAGTTTTATATGAATTTATTTGTGTATTGTTAGTAGCCATCCGGTATATTAGTTAGGGTTTTGTGCGGGGGAGGTGAAATTTTAGATTATTATATTTAATTTTACAGTATATGAACTCAACTATAGGATACAGAGAATTGCGGAATGAAAACACCCGACGAACAATTCCGGAAATAAATCCCCTACCCTATAAAAAATAAGTGTAATTTATTAATAATTTATAATATTATGATTTATGAGTCCCGCGTCCTGTAAAACAATTCGTCTGACCCGTGACCGTTGAAATTGTAGTCACGTTTATTTCAATAGCCGATAACATTGTTTACGTAGTACTGGGTAAAACGCAAAATATTATAGTATACAGTGATGAATATGCACTTCATAAATGTAATGTTTTTTTGAGAATTGTGTGGAGTCTTCTATCAACATTTATAATGTTAGCTATGAAAGGAAAAACTTATATAAATTTCTAACTGAAAATTTAAAAAAAAATTTGAAGAATTCTAAATTCTAATATTTGATATACCTATAATCATTACAAACAATAATTTGTGTTTCTTCTAAAAACGAAGAAATAAAAAAAAAACCTTTAGTAAAGCTAAAAAAACTATTTTTTCATATGATTTTTCAATTTTTGCTGTTTTTGAACTGGGGGTGCTAAATTTAAGTTTGGGGGTGCTGAAGCACCCCCAAGCACCCCCCTAGTTGCGCCTAAGCCACCACCTTACGGCGGCCTTACGCCTTTTTATCATGTCTCGTCCCGAAAAACTTCGAATGATTCGTTTTTTGTACCGTATTTACAATTTACAAGTAAGTAGCCCAGTTTTAATCCCGTTAAATAATTTTAAAAAACAATTACATTATAGTGTAGAATACGGACAAATAATTTCGTTTTATTATAATATTGTCTTGGCAAGGTGGGGTAGTGGTGTACGCCGGCGGGGTCGCATGTTTATGAAAATATTTTTAGACTGCAAAAACCCAATTGTCAACGACTGCAGTCGACGATGCAGCCACCACTCCACTTCCCGCCTACAACGTTATCGATAATTCCCACGTCTTCTATTCTGTCATATTATTATTCTATTACACACAACATTTCATTTCGTATGATCTATTCACTATTGACTGTTATAATATTAATATTATAAAGAAACAACTCGACTTTGGACGATTGGACGGACGTCCTCTTACTAACTAGCAACTATAATAACATTGTCGATAGTGTTGCCGTTTTCACCCCGCGGTCACGCATCTAGTTACGATATTTTAATGTTTTAAGAGAATTGTCATAAAAAACAAATTTGAGAACACAGATAAAATTTTGATAATATTATGTCAATTCACTCAAATATCGAAACTAACAGCACACTATTGTAACCGGTGAACGAAAATTGTCTTGGTTTTACATGTGTAGGACCAGGCACGTATTCGGGGCGGTGCTTTACATTCAAATCTCCAATCAGTCCAATAAACAAGAAATTTATTAATGTATTTAGATTATTATAATTAATGAAATTAAGATCAGGAAAAATGCAATCAAATTAAATAATACATTTTTTTTTTCAGTTTATACATAATTTTTATAATATGAGTAATGAGTATAAACCATCACTACTCGATAGGATATTAGGATACCATAGGTACTAGAGTCTATATTATTTCAATATTAATTAATATGAACAGTATTTTTTTTTACAATAAAGTTTTTTATAAAACCTACAATATGTTTATTTAACATTGGTCTCCCTAGAGAATTAAGAGATGACTAACAGATTGTGAACAGTGGCGTGGTGAACGACGTTTACCTAATGCAATTGCTTAGCCCTAGAAATTTTTCAGGGGGGTGGGTACTCCTTGGCCGAGGTAAAGATAATAAAGAATATATTAAGAATAAAAACCATCGGCCAAAATAGATTGGAATCACTAATGCTTCTATCTTGGGAAAAAGATATTTCACCTTATTTAGAAGAAGCATTAGATAGAATGGGTAAATCTTCTCAACTGCTAGAAAAAGCTCTTTTATTTAAATAAATAAATAATTTTATATTTATGTGATAGTGTGACACTGTAAATAAAAAATGATATTAGTATATAACAATATACCTATATTATTTTTTATGTATGGCGTTTTAATTATAATTAATGCATTATGTAATCTATTTTCTGATAATACACTTACATATAAGCAAGGCTCATGTTAACTGCATAAAAGACTGCTTCAAAAGTCATCAGATTTAATTGATAGGTATTTTAGGTTCTGAGTGAAACGATGAATGTATTGATTTTACAATGATGTGTGTTTTTTTTTATTTTTTTTTTGTGTCTGTCATCACGTTTTGGGACAGTAAAAGTGATTGGGTTTTCTTCAACAGTAGCTTTTCTGATAGGAAAGTGAATCTAGTTGGTACTTTGGGGGGTCAAAAGTAAAAATTTTACAGTAGTTTTCACAAGCGCCGGGAAATACAACATAAAAAATTAAGAAAAAACGGGAATTTTTACGCAAAATCGGTTTTCCAAAAAATCGATTTTCGTGTAACTCTAAAAGAAATGAACGTATATACATGAAATTTTCACTGGTTGTTTATATTTGCATTTTATAATAATACGGTAACATTTTCAAAATATTTTGATTTATTTTGAACTGTTAAGGGACATTTTAATTTTCCATTTTTTTGAGTTTTTTTTCTAAAAATATCATTAAAATTGTATTTGTTGGTTAAAAAAGATTGAAAATGTAAAAGAAGGCTCCTACTATATTGTTTCAAAGGCAGATGAAAAATATTAAAAATCCTTAGTCACAGTTTCTTTTAATAAGCATTGAAAGTTCAAAAATTGACAAAATATGGAAAAATCACAAAAATTAGCAAATTATTTTGAAATAAGAATTTGTAAAAATTTTTCTTTTTAAATCTATGATTTGAAAATATAATACAAGATTCCTTATAAGATTATCTACCTTTATCAAAAAAAAAATGTCTATAAGAAAGTCAAATTAAATTTTTATGAGCGTTTGAAATTCAAATTTTTACAACATTGGATATTCACTCGATTTCTCATGTAGCGATTTCCTTATTTTGTTGTAATTCAAAAACGAATAACTGTAGATACATGAAAATTTCACTGAATGTTTAAATTAACATTTCCTATACACCCAGTGGCGTACATTCAAATTTGCTCTGGGGGAGGTTTAAAAAAAATAACCAGCACTAAAACCTTCTCTTTGGAACTACCCATTTTCCTAACAATCAAACACATTACACGTATAAATATTAATAGGTAGGCAAAATAGTAAAACAAATACAAAGGTTTACGTAACTCATGGCAGTTAAATATTATTTAATATGCACATAGTAAGTACCTACAGAATATTATAAATATTATATTATTAATTATTTATAATAAAAATTCTGTTGATTGTTATATTTTAAATTCGAATGATTTTTAAAGTCTTCCAATGCATGCAGGGGCGATCCTAGAGTTTATATTTAGGGGGGTTTGGGGTGAATTTTGCCGACTTTCAAGGACAAATCTGACGACTGTATACTAAATATTATAAAAATTACATTTTCCTATTGTAATAATTAGGGATCAAATAGTTATGAAATTGCATTTTTTTTTCTATTTATTCATTTCAATGCTGACCTAGATACAAATTTGATTCTTATTTTACTGAATCAAAAAACATTATTTTTATTTTTCATATTTTATGGTTTTTATTTTAAATGCATATTTTGATACTTTAATAATATCTAAATATCTATGTATTCATTTTTTTATTATATCTATCTTATTAAAATATCGAAGAGTCTCGCTAGAGACTCCTTTCTGTGCATAAGTAACACCGATAAGAAACAGCACCTTGACAACCGATAGCGAGACTATTATACATTAAGTTTCGTTTCGGCGCTCGGACCTCTCACTCGCACGCATTGGTTGAATGCAGAGTGCGAGAGAGACAGAGCTAAAAACTGCAGTTTTGTGAGTCTTTTTCTTTCGTCCGTCATAGCAACGTCATCCAACGCCGCGCCGTAGCAACCGCCACGCGCCGGCCGCTACCGCACCGCGAACCTCACCCACAACAACGGCTATTTACAGCTAGCTAGTTTTACGTTTGCAGAATTATTATTAATTATTATTTATTTTTATTATATTATAAAATATTTTTTTACGTACTCGCGTTGTTGCGATACCGAGGTCTCGTGCATTTACATTATTACATACGTTATTTTACCCGATTTATTGTTACAAAACAACAGCTACGTAAATATGTACCTATTATTACTATTTTAATACTATAATAATAATTATTATTATTAAATAATTGTGTTATTAATATAAATTTATAATTAATAATTATATATTATATAATTATAAACATTTATATTGTATTTCTATTTTTATAGAATTATTATTCACAAATAAAAATAATAATTAGAAAAAATGTAATCCATAAATATAATATAATAAATAAACGATAAACCTCAGTATATCACAGTAAAACGTGCTTCGGAAAAATAATTGAAATCCTCAAAAAAACTACTTCGGAGAAGTAAAAAAGGCTTTCTGTGCGTAAGTTGAAGAGATTGGGAGAAAAGATAGAACTTTGGTGTTAATAAAGATGTGAAATCAATCTCAAAGTTCTGTGCCAAAAAGGGCCACGGTTGAAAAAATAGAATTTGGGGCTTAATAAAGAAGTGAAATCAATACCCAAATTATGTGCCTCAACTTGAAAAAATATCTTATTCAAAAAAATTTCGAGATGTTCAACTGTACAAACATTAAAAAAAAATATTAGCACAGAACGGCGTACAATAATGATGAATTAATAAAATTAGCCATAAATTGTCGACTTGTTTACGAGTTAATCTGTTTGATTCGAATTTTTGTTGACAATCTGTAATTCACGCCGTTCTGTGCTAATATTTTTTTTTTAATGTTTTACAGTTGAACATCTCGAAATTTTTTTGAATAAGATATTTTTTCAAGTTGAGGCACATAATTTGGGTATTGATTTCACTTCTTTATTAAGCCCCAAATTCTATTTTTTCAACCGTGGCCCTTTTTGGCACAGAACTTTGAGATTGATTTCACACCTTTATTAACACCAAAGTTCTATCTTTTCTCCCAATCTCTTCAACTTACGCACAGAAAGCCTTTTTTACTTCTCCGAAGTAGTTTTTTTGAGGATATAATATAATCTACATAAAGTATACCTTATTAATTATTATTGTTATTATATAGGAATAAAACAAAGGTGGTAACCAATAATGATAACTGTGAAGTTTATAAACAGTGTACTATATTTCTTAAATGTTAAAGTATTATATTAGCCAATACATACATCAAAATAATTATGAAAACATTGTATAAAAGAAAGTAAACAATTAATTATTAAATACAATTTAATTTATAAACATTATAAATTATATATAATTATTTTAAATATGTATTCTTCTTTGTTTGGCCAAAGACCATTTTGTGACAACAGAATCTATATCAAATTTATCGACAATATCTTTTTCACAACTCAATATCATCAACGAGCTAAGACGGTTTGAAGTCATTGTAGAACGTAAATTATGTTTTATAAGTTTCAACTTACTAAAAGTCCGTTCACTAGAAGCTGTTGTAACTGGAGAAGTAAATGAAAGGCGGCAAAACCAATTAGCCCAAGGTAATATGTGTTTTACTTCTTCCGATTTTTGAAGGACATCTAAACATTTTAAATTTTCATTAACACGTTGGTGTCCCAGTATTTCCCATTCTGCTGCCGCTGTATCATAATCTAAGAGCTTGGCTCCAACACTCATAGGTGGGAAAAGAGAAAAGGCTTCACTGAAATCTTGTGATGTGTTCACTTTCAATGGAATACTTAATATTTTATATATGGGTTGAATAGTTTCAACAAAAACATTTAAATTTGAACTTGTTAAATTAATCAATGTATCTACTCGTAAAACTAAATTAAAATGTTGTCTGTAAAAATTTAACAATTCATAAAGAACACTATTGTCAACATTTTCATCAAGTCGCTTAGGTCGCTTTCTGGTTCGGTGATAACGATTTAAGTCTGTCTCTGAATCAACTCCAAATGATTGAGCTGTAATTTTAGCGCTGTTTATCAAATTGTTCATGTTTTCTGTTTCCGATCTAATTTTTTGCAATGATGAAATCGTACTTTTTATTAAAACTGCTGCATCACACACATTTAGTTCTTTGGCCTCTAAAGATTCTGTTAAATGTTTAACTTTAAACATTATGTTCTTCATAAATATTAATGAAACAAAAAAATCAAATTTTAGAATTATACAATAGCTTTTGTTTTAGTTAAATTATCAAAACTATTTGAATTGTTAATATATTCTAATGTGTCAACAATTGCTTCTAAAGATGTCCACACTGCTTTGATGCTTTCGGCTCTGGCTGTCCAACGAGTTTTGGATAAATTTCTGAGCTTCAGACTTCCCTCGATTTTTTCCATACGTTCCATTAAATTACTTGATCTTTTTGTACTTGCCCAGAAAAATCCATAAATGTTTTCAAGAATGTCAATGAAATTTCCAATTATATGACTAGCCTTACAGCCGTGTTCTAGAAAAGTATTTAACCTGTGTGCTTGACATGGAATATATGGAACTGTATGTCCAACTAACTCAGAAAAAAAACGTTGAGCTCCTTTGTTAACACCACTCACGCTATTGGCATAATCATATGACTGAAATGCTACATTTCCAGTTTTAAGTTTATGTTTTATCAAAGTGTCATATATACTTTTAGCCAATCCATATCCAGTCTTATCTGTAACTTCAACAAAATCAAGTAATCGTTCATTTGTCGATCCTCCTTGGTCGACGTATCTCAAACAAATAGATAATTGGTCCTTAAGTGAAACGTCTGGTGTAGTATCAGCTAAAACTGAAAATATATCAGATGTTGACACTTCTTCAACTATATTCTTAAGTGTTTCTTCAGCTAAGAGTTCGATAAATTCATTTTGAGATTTCATACTGAGATATGTAACTTGATGAGAACGCATATATTTTTCATTAAGCCATCTTTTTAATATTGCATTGTGGCGGGAAAGTAAAAGAACCATTTGATAAAAATTTCCATTTTGTAATTCATTTGCACCTTCATTATGACTACGGAACGCAAGCCCTTGTCTGGCTAAAGTACGTGTTAAATCTATCAAAATCCTGACTGCATCTTTATTTCAGCTTGCTAAAAAAAATAAAACATATTATTTTTTAAATACACAGAACAATAACAATGCATATAAACTTGTAAATTTGTTTAAAAATTTTAAATATTAAGTTACAATAATTATTACTTATTACTTACAATTTCACTACTAGTCTGTGGAACGGTATCACATAATCTGGGCTGTGGTTCACAAATTTCTTCAGCCTGCTAAAAAAATAAAACATATTGAATACAGAACTATAACAATGCGCATAAACTAGTACATTAATAGTTTAAAAATTATAAATATTAAGTTACAAATTACAATAATTATCATTTCACTTCTAAGTAGGTACTACTAAGTAGGTACTACTAAGTAGGTACTCCTATGTGGCTATGTTCTATGTATTATTATTACAAAATAAATATTTTGTTTACATATTTGAACTTAGACTATATATTATATAAGAATAAAAATCGACCAAAAATACTTACCAATTGCTTATTTTTTTTTTTATTTCGATGCTGCAAACGGATTGCTTGGAGCACCGAAGTGTTGTATTATAACTTTTTTCCCCTGATGCACATCGCCCTCGTGTTTTAATTTGTAGTCATTATTAAAAACACTACCACAATCGAGACATTCAATTTTAATACGTTTTCGTTTAGATTCCATGTTTAAACGAAAATTGTTGCACAAATAAATTTAAAATATTTAAATTAAAATATTGTAATCGAAGCAAATGCCGAACTTTGATAACCAGTAACCACTATTAATAATAATAATAACAATAAAAATATAAAATATTATTATAAATCGTGTCGTCACTCGTCGACCGTCGTGTCAAAATCGAATAAGAACATGTAATGCATATAATATAAAATTTTAGGGGATATTGGAATTGGTTTAGTTTGAACCTTGAATTGATAAACAACCGACTGTTTCGTATAGCGGAATGTCACGTACCGACCGCGACATTGGTATTTCCTATTTCTATTTTTAGACATTAATATTTAATATTAATGAAAACAATTTAATTACAAGAACACAATAATCTGAGCTCTTCTGGGTACTTAATCTTTTATTATCCGACTTCCGAAAATAACGTAGCATATTTATTACGAGTAAACTTATGTATATGTTGATACTTCATGCTTAATGTGTATTAGTTTTACTTATTAATAATATGGAAGTTTCAATGATCTCTTTATATATTACATTTAGCGAATTCTGAAAATTGCCGACTAGTACTTACAGTTGCCGACATTCGGGGGTATCAAACCCCCCCACACCCCCCCCCCCTAAAAACGCCCCTGAATGCATGTTTCCAATCATCATATTTTTTAATACAAATGCTCCCAATTTTTGGTTATTAACACCGGCTTCATTTTTAGTAAAAGCAACACAATATTTGCAATACGCACCATTGTTTACTTCTGAATAGGCCAACCAGGGAAAGTTAATTAGCCATTTATATTGAAATTTCAACCTCAAAACTTTTTTTTGTTTACCGACTACTGATATTTTGATAAGAAAATTGTAATTAATATCAGGGACCCAAATTTTGCTCAAAATTTCTTCTATTTCACTTTGCGTTAACAATTTATTTGTGTAATGTGCAATGTCAAAAATATTATAACTGGAAGATGTACGATTAATATCTGTAGTCGAAGGTGTAAACTGAGTGATAGGTGTATCAGATGCAGATGCAGTTGATGGTAATGAGGAACTAGAGGAACTTATAACTGTTTGAGTTGCATTCAATGAATTCATTATTGAGGGTGGTTTCGAAAAAAAAGATTGCAGTTTCGATTGATTTTTTTCAGCCATGATTACTAATTATTTTACCTTCAAAACCTAAAATATATCGAAATCGAATGATAATGATTATGATGTGATAATAATAATTTTTAACTTAACTACTATTTACTAAATTTATTTTTTAATCAACGTTAAATTAACGAATTAATTTTTTTATTTGTAAGTTAATTTATTTTGTTTTTCATTTTTTTACATTTCATTATTTGAGTCTATTTTGTTGCCATGTCAAAATTTCAATAATATAGACATAATATTATTATATAGTTTGCCGACACTAAAATCTAAAAATAAATCAATTACCTATTGATTTTATGGTTTACGGTTTTGTGAGATTATTAATTATTATTAAAAATTATTATTAACAGTATTCACGTTGATAGTAATCAAAACATTAAAAATTAAAAATACCTACTCATCGTATTATGATGTACACAAATAATATCTGTTTGAAAGACAACTAAAATATATAATATTTATTTATTATTATTTATTACTTATTACTTATGTGATAGGTAACTTCTGTACTTAAAAATACAATATATACTATATCTATATGTGTATGCATATTAACTTAACTGAGTTAAAAAAAAAAAAACTCAAAGTCTTGTGTGTTTATAATGAGTCGGTCGAGATAAAGACAATATTAATATGTATTTATATCCGCACCCAACTAACTGACTGTGTACGATCAAAATAATGTCTATTTTGATTGATATACCATATTATACGGCACCCATAATTTCGTTATGAAATCTTTTTTCGTTGTTGGTTAAGTATAGTGTTTACTGTTTGCTCAATAGTCATATTATTATGACGTATATTTGTGTATTAATTAATATTATTATTAAAATTAATATTAACGTTAATATTTTTAAGTTAAGGTGCTGTTGTTAAATTTTTGAATTAGTATTACGATGTATTTTAATTTTTAGTATTGGTTTAGTATAGGATTATGAATAATGTACATCGTTCTTAATTAACATGAGCCATCTATGTTCTGATTTTTGAACTATAAATAAAACCGATTACGACAATCGTCTATTTTTTTTATACTCATTAGTTGTTATGCATATAAAAAAGAATACAATATTTTTCTACAGATGGAGCTATTTAAATCATTGCTAATGGTTGTTCTATAAATTAATTCATAAATACTATTATACACTATTTAAAATAATAATTATTGTTAAAAATAGTTACATATAAATTAAAATGTCTTAAAAAATGTACCAAACACATAAAAAAAGGTAAGACATTCGTTTTATCGTATGCATTATGAATGTCTATTTTCATAATGCTTTAAATGTCTAGTGGACATATGATGCTTATAAGGTTGAAAATCGACCGTGCAATTTGTCCGAACTCAGGCGACCTCATCTAATAGGTGAGTAAGCCAATAGGTATGTTTAGGTATTGCATCAATTGCAAATTGATAATTTGAGCAATTTTTGAATATGGCCGTAACTTTGTTATGGCCCCATAAATTATCATACAGTCTTAAAATAGGGTCATACTATGACGCCTTTACTCTGACTCACATTTGTCATTTTTATGTCATATTTTGAATTTTATAGTAAAATAGAGTAAAATATTTAAAAAAAATTTATTTTTATTAATTTAAAACTAATTTTTGTAATTTTTTTAGGACATTTTTTGCCATTTTTATGGTCATTTTTTATTGTTTTTAAGGTCATCAACTTCCGAGCCCTATAATGATTAGTAAGAAATATAAAAAAAATAAATCTGGCGGCCAGTGATGATGTTATTTGTCGTTTATTCCAAGTCAAACGGTATGATATTTTTTTGTCCATGATAATAATTTTATATAATATTCTAGATTTGATTAGATAAGCAAAGAACTTTGGTTATGTTCCATGTGGCCGAGAAATTGTAGTTTTTACCACCATGGCAGCATAAGTCATAACTCAATAACTCATAACTACTGTAAATTGTAATAATGTAATATCGGACTGGACTACAACCAAACGTAGGTAAGTATATACCATGACATTATTAATTATTATACACGTTGACGTTAGATACGCCTATGATTACAAACTCGCACTTCGCAGGTTAATAGTTAATACCTACTCACAACACACAAGCACTGGACTACTGGAGAGCAGAGAGCGGAGACTGGTCAACAAACGTGACACTGTAATGTTGTTACTGGTCTCTTGGAGTCATGAACGCCTCAGCGAGACGCGAGTGCAGCAGCACTCCACAGCGGTTTATTCACGATGGTTCAGCGGTCAGGAGTTAGTAATAGTTACCATAAGTCGGTAGGTAGACAGGTAGTTATTATAACCGTAGGCGTGGGCAGACTTTAATCGCAGATTCAGCATACAGAATAAAGCAGCCCAGTTTTTTAAATTCGGCTTATTAATTGTATTATGCCTACACGGTATTATGCCTATGATTATAAGTTGTAGTTAAAAAACACATAATTTATAGACTATAATTGATGCTTTTATTTATTTAAGGTAAATAAGTGAAACTGAAATGTTGTTGCTACTGCAGTGGTACTTGCTATGCAAAAGTCAAAATACATTAGAAATTATTGATTCTATCAATCAACCAGGCCACTTTAGGATTTAGGATTGCACATGGTAAGGGATATTTGTTTATATAAAAATGATTTAAGGTTGAAGAACAAAGAAGTTTTCCACTGACTCACTCTTTTCACTATTTCTCACTATTTTGGTTATGCCTCACTTTTTATTACTATTTAAACAAATTAATCACTGTTCTCAATTTTTTTGACAATGCAATGATTGTAATGCCATAACGATAACAATTATCAAATTTATTGTTAAGAATATAAACACTGTTTCCAGTTTTCCATACTCATAACATTATTATTTTTGAAAGGTGAAAAGTGAAGACACAGATATCACTGACTATATAGTCTTCACGATAACGACAACTATCCTTAAGAGGATGTAACACTAGCATTTGTTGTCTCCGTCTTACAAGTGCGTAACATAGAAAATGTACACACAGCAGATCACTTGTAGCTTGGTCAGTTTAAAAATTAAAGTGAACCTATTATACATGCAAAACTTGCTAAAAAATGAACTATTGTAAAAAACCCACTTACAAACACAGATAATGTTCTTAACATCAAGTTTCATAATAGGTCGATTCACTTTAATTTTTAAACTGACGAAGCTACAAGTGATCTGCTCAGCGTACATTTTCTATGTTGCGCACTTGTAAGACGGAGACAACAAATGCTAGTGTTACATCCTCTTAAGGATAGTTGTCGTTATCGTGAGGACTATATAGTCAGTGATATCAGTATATCACTGTTCTGTGTCTTCACTTTTCACCCTTCAAAAATAATAATGTTATGAGTATGGAAAACTGGAAACAGTGTGTTAGTCCTTGTTGACGCGTATATTTTATCTGCCATTGTAAACCGGACTTTGTCGTATTATCGCTCGCGATAGTGAACACTATGTAATGTCTAATAACATAAGAAGTCTAGTGTCAGTATGCGTTCGACTGCCAATCGCCACGTAAATAAATATATATTAATACCAAGTAAACCAACTGTATTATAATATTCTTACACTAAAACAAATCTCATACAGTCCACAAATTAAAATTCGTAATTTAACATTGGTCCTTCAACCAGGATAAAAGGAATCGGCGATATTCGTGAATGGCAGTCAAAATTAAAATTCGCACAGTATTTATTAAAGATAAAACGTGTGTAAAATAAGTGCGTGCGTGAAATATTCAAATAAAATTAATCAACCGTTAATCCATTCGTATATCAGAATAACGGTAAGGTTGTCGCGGAAGGAGAACAATATTGGACATACCAATCCAACTTCAAAGGAGGAAAAATCTGGTAAGTCGTGTCCATAATATTATCTTAAATCCACTCCTTCCTAAAATAAACTAATTAAAAAAAAAAAAAAAAAAAAAAAAATAATATAATATAATATAAGTCTGGGGGACATGCCCGAGTTAGGTGCCTTGAAATCCCGTAGAGGCCAATTAAAGGCCAAGCTAACAAGATTTATAAATCACCTGTCAAATGTTGACAAAAATGTGGAAATAAATCGGACAGAATTGAGGTGCCGTCGGGAAAAGAACGAGGATGTTTGGCAAGAGTTTGAACAGGTACAAAGTGCAATCGAGCTGTTACTGAATGATGAAGAAGATGAAGAAACAACGAACTACCGCGTGGAATTCGAGGATGCATATTTTAATGCCATTTCATTATGCGATGATTTAATGTATAACAGAAATAATGAGCAAATCGAAAGTCAAGGTAACGCCGACGTTATGCGTAATAGTAACATGCTTGTTCCGGCTCCACAGATGACGGCAAGTAGTGGTGGGGGATTTTGTTGCAATAATTCCAATGCACCAATACAACTAGCGGCGATAAGTCTACCGACATTTTCAGGTATATATAGTGAATGGCCTACATATTACGATATTTTTGGAGTAATGGTACACAAAAATGATCGAATAAGCGACATTCAACGGTTTTTCCATTTGCGCGCATCGTTATCGGGTGAAGCGGCTCAAGTCATACAAGGCATAGAGACGACCGCCGCCAATTACAGTATCGCTTGGGAAAGTTTGATTGCCAGGTATAACAATAAAAAGGTGCTTATTCAATCACATACTAGAGGCTTGTACGAATTATCAGTGATAAACGAAGAATCCAAACAATTACGAAAATTAATTGATAAATTAAATTGTCATATCAACGCTTTGGAGTCCTTGGGAGAAAATCCTCGTGGGTGGGGATCCATGTTAATTCATTTAATTACGAGCAAATTAGATATTAGCACCATAAAAGCATGGGAAACAATTGCACCGAAAGACGAAATACCACCAATTCAAGTACTGATACAATTTTTAGAAAAACGTTTTAAAATAGTAGAAGCTGTTGAATCGGTATCACAAATGAATATCAAAGAAAGCTCGGATTCGAAGGGAAATAAGAAAATCAATAAAGGTTATCCCAAGGAGAAAACGTATTATTCATTCGCGGCTACCGATATGACCAAATGTTACAATTGTAATTTACCATATACTATTTATAAGTGCCCTGCATTCCTAGCATTATCAGTACCCGACAGAATAAATAAAGTAAATGCACTAAAGTTGTGCAAAATATGTATGCGTCCACACAATGACAAAAAATGTCTTGGTAAAAAATGTTTCAAGTGCCATAAAGCTCACAACACGATGCTACATTTAAATGCGAGCAAAGACGGTGAAGAGAATAAAAGTAATACGATAACAGCCGCGGGTAACGATAATAGTAACACAAGTCGTTCCGATAACGAAATCATACCAGTCACAGCACACAGTACAGTCGCCGCGACGGCGGCTGCGCCGGATAAACACGTTACGCTATGTCCTAACTGAATCCGTGCGTTGCGTGCGTTGCGTGTGTTGCGGGCGATGCGTGCACGCAAATAAAACCAACTGCTACAAAGTACGGACATGTCCTAACTGGCCGTACATGCGTGCGATGCGTTTTAACGCACCGCACAAAATAGAGCATGTTCTATTTTCCAACGCAACGTCTAAACGCAACGCACGTATTCAGTTAGGACATAGCGTTATGTTATCCACCGCCGTCATAAAAGTATATGATAAAATGGGTAATGCGATACATTGCCGTGCGCTATTGGACTCTGGATCTCAAAACAATTTTGTCACGGAATATATGGCACAAACCCTTCAATTAGGCCGAAACAAAATAAAGAGCGATGTCTCCGGTATAGGTCAATCAGTGCACACTATAACGTCCGCGGTGACGGTGAAGATAAGATCCCGCACAAGCGATTACGAAAAAACCATATCTTGCTTAATATTACCCAGATTAACTAATGACATACCCGCACAGGTCATTGACCCAAAACGTATAAATGTACCGGATAATATTGTATTGGCTGACAAAGCATACAATAAGCCGCAAAAAATTGATATGTTATTAGGTAATGAATTGTTTTTCGACTTAATGCGTCCAGGGCAAATTAAATCGAGCAGTGCCGGGCCAATTATACAAGAGACGAGGTTAGGATGGATAATTGCTGGTCCTATATAGGGATGGGCGATTCAGGTCGGAGAATCGATTTTTGAATCGATTTAAATCGGAATGAAAAAAATCGATTCAAAAAAAATCGTTGCCCAAAAAATCGATTTTTTGGAGAATCGATTCTTAAAATAACGATTTTTTAAACAACTAGATGGTGCTTTTTGACGTCATGTTCTAGCTCTCCCTTGTGACGCCCGGGTTCATATTGCTTCATATATAAAGGTTTTCTGTACTCATTAATTTCAGTGCGAGTACTCCCTGCCTTAGTCCCACTTGATTTCGGAACGAGTATACACTGGAAAGTGTTGTACCTCAATGGCTAAATCAAAAATGGACAGTGACAGTGTCCAAATGGTGATAGCTGGTCACAGGGGGGAGGATGATACGCCTTAATTTTTTAATTTTTTAAAATTTTATTGAATAAATTACCAAATTTAGACTTAGCACCCCCAGTTTCCTGTAAAATTTATTTCAGTAATACACCAATAATTTGTAAATTATTATGGTTTATTGAGTTGGATTTTTTTTTTTCCATTATAATTATAAATATCTGTTGACAACTTTTTTAACTTGGATGAACAAAATAGTTTGTGTTTTATAAACACTTATAAGGTATATATGATAAAAAATAACTAACTATTTAAAATATTTATTAAAGCTTAAAGATTTACTAAGCTATCTATTTGAAAAGAAAGATTTACTAAGCTATCTACGCTTAGCATTGAGAGAGATCTTACCAATAAAATAGATGGGGAAATTATATTGCAAAAATTTGCATTATCAAACAGGAAATTAAATCTTGTAATATAATAATAATATAATTACTTTTAAATATTTGTTTTTATTTTAAATACAAATTTATAATCATTGCAATGCAGTTATTATAGTATTAGGGTGGTCAGGGGTGTGGGTCTGTGTACCATAAATTATTCCAGCACCCCCTAAATTCACACCCTATGTGCGCCTTACTTTACTGCGTTTTACCTTAACATAATATATAATAATGTATATATTGCCCACATAAAACATCCATTCAGAAATACAAATACTTGCCATGTGCAATATTTTTCAAATACTTGGTAATTCAACACTTGTTAATAAAATCATAAATTGATTTAATTATTTTACTAGGTAAGTAGATATTAACTTAACGCATTAAGTTTTCGCACATTAATTTTGTACTTGTACAAAGTAATTAGAATTTTGAAACTTAATATTTTTTAAACGTTCACCTTATACTATCATAAACACATTTTACTCCTCATTGAAGTAACATTCTTGATGTTATGTAGTGTGTACTAGCATTAACATAAAATAGTACTCAAGTACATAATGTAAGATATTACATTAATATTAAGTAAGAATCTGATACAATATAAGTTTAAATTGACTGAGTTAGGATTAAGTTATTTAATGAAGGTAGATAAATAACACAACAATGACTATGGTAAACACTGTTTTTTTTATTTATTATATCATTGGTACTTTCACATATTTTTTTACAACAATTATTAAATTTAAAGGACAAAATTGTGGGCCACTTAATCTTGTTTAAGGTACCATTAGCTCACTATTGATTCATTAAATGTTTTGTACATATTTACAAATTATATTATATACAAAAGGCTGTACAGATACATTACATTATACATATTTACAAATTATATTATATACAAAAGGCTGTACAGATACATTACATTATACATATTTACAAATTATATTATATACAAAAGGCTGTACAGATACATTACATTATACATATTTACAAATTATATTATACACAAAAGGCTGTACAGATAATTACACTATACATATTTACAAATTATATTATACACAAAAGGCTGTACAGATAATTACACTATACATATTTACAAATTATATTATACACAAAACTACAAAAGGCTGTACAGATAAATTACATTTATTCTATGTGCCAGTCTTCAAAATTTAGGGAACTCAAAAATAAAAGCTGTTGCAATTTGTCCCCCTTTAACCTGTTTCTTTTTTCAGTCATTATATTTCCCGCTTTAGAAAACAATCTTTCCGAAGGGACAGAAGTTGCTACTACTGACAAATATGGCTGTACAATTTTTTTTAAAAGAGGGAACATATTGCCATTTATATCCCAATACTTTAGTATGTCATCACCTAATGGTATTGTGGGCTGGCTTAAATAATGTTTGAGTTCGGTAGGAATTCGCTCTTCAGGCTGGTGTGAATTTTGTGTTGCAGCTTTTTTTGTAACCAGCTCATTGTGAACTGACCACAAACTATCACTGGGTTCAACATCATCATCACTAGAGCCTTGGTTTGAGGAGCTAGGTTCATCACAATTACTTTTAATTTCAATAATTTGAGTTTTAATCATTTTAATAGCTTTTGAACTGGTTAATGGATTATTCAAATGGATAGTTTTGAACCTGGGATCTAATATAGTTGAGATGCTGAGAAGACTTCTCTCCTCCATCCTACCGAACCTTTTATCCAAATTCTCTAACATAGCTCTCTTTAAGGATAAAGCTGTTGGATGGGTTAAGTCAATGCTCTCGGTTTTTTTAATAAGGCAGTTAATTAGGGGAATAACTGTGCTGCCAGTTACATATTTTTGACCACATAATTCCCTTGTTGCCACCTCCATCGGCTTTAACACTAACAACATTTCCTTAGCTATATCAATCTCATCTGCCGTCAACATTTCGGGGCCCCGGCGAATATGTATCAAAACTGAAGCTATGTGGTTCGAACATAAAATGAATCTGTCAATCATGAAATATATTGAGTTCCAACGTGTTGGTACAGATTGTTTGAGTTTGAGATCGCACAATTTCCTAAGTTCGTCAGAAGCCGCTACAGATTGCTTGAAAAACGTTACGATACTTTTAATTTTGTTTATAACACTAAGTACATCAGTAAGATTTAACAGTGCCCTTTCTGAAACCAAATTTAGTGTGTGGGCAAAACACGGCAAATGTTTATCGGATGTAAAAGTTTTGTTTACGGCAGATAATATATTTGCCCCACTATCGGTGACGACGGTGAAAACCTGGCTTTTTTTTATACCCCACTGAGCAAGAAGATGCTCGAACCAAGTGGAAATATTATCAGCTGTATGGCTGGCAGACAGCTCCAACACACCAATTGTGACACTGTCAAGAGCAACTTTATTTAAATTTAAAAAATGCACAGTCATGCCCAAAAAACTTTTTGTATTTAGTGTGTCAGTCCAAATATCTGAAGTTAAAGTTAAGTGATCAACAAGACTTAGTTTAGATTTTATTAATGTGGATAAGACTTCATATTTAGATTTTACCATTTTAGTCAAAGTTTTCCTACATGGAATCTTGTACATTGGAACTGCTTTCTGCATGAAGAATCTGAAGCCTTGTTTTTCTGTTGTTGATAACGGCAGATTATCTTTTGCAACCATATAGATTAGTGCATCTGTGATGGCTCGTGTCTTATATCCTCCTCCTAAAACAATTTAGACAATTTATTATAATTTTATAGTTAAGAATTAAAAAATGTACTTTTACTATCATAAGATTTGATGTTGAAAATGGATTCAGATATTGTGCTCTGCCTAGTCAGACTTATGTTCGCTGACTGTGGAGTAATTGAAGAGGATGTGGTTTGTATTGACCGAACAGATGCAGATCCACTGCCACTGAATGATGCCACGGAATCATTGTCCACAATACCGGACGAACTCGAAGATGTTGAAGCAAAATTAAGTGTCCGTTGTGTTTGTTGAGCCTATATTTAAAAAAAAGAAATTGGTTAATGTTGTAAGCACATTATTAGTAATATTGCATCTTAGTATCTTACCTTATTTACAATGGTTCTAGCCACCTCAGCAAAATCATTTTCCTCTGTCATTACATCAGGATCGTCAACATTTTGTTCTTGTGGTTCTGTAGAACTAGTTGATGCCACTGACTGAGAACTTCGACGCATGACAACTGTTACAGCACCCTTGCTTAGTTTAATTGAAGGATGATTTCTTTTGATGTGGTTGCGGATATTTGTTGTGTTACCACATGACTTGACTGAAGCGTGACATAATTTGCATAACACAATTTCTACGTTCGACGTTTTTTCAAAATATTCCCAAATCACACTCTTGTGTTTCGACGACATCATGTGCGATTGTGCGAACTGCAAAAACTTGTGAGACTTCGGAGGTACAACCTACACTCTACGAAGTCGTAAGTTTCACTAAATTTCCAGTGCGAACTCGGAACTATGAAAACGTCGACTGTCGAGTCGTCGAGAACGATACGATTCACGAAATCGGAAATATCTGTATTCTGTATACGATACCACGTGCGTCGTGCGACTTCGGAGGTACAATCCTACACTCTACGAAGTCGTAAGTTTCACTAAATTTCCAGTGCGAACTCGGAACTATGAAAACGTCGACTGTCGAGTCGTCGAGAACGATACGATTCACGAAATCGGAAATATCTGTATACGATACCACGTGCGTCGTGCGACTTCGGAGGTACAATCCTACACTCTACGAAGTCGTAAGTTTCACTAAATTTCCAGTGCGAACTCGGAACTATGAAAACGTCGACTGTCGAGTCGTCGAGAACGATACGATTCATGAAATCGGAAATATCTGTATAATTCACGAAATCGGAAATATCTGTATACCACGTGCGTCGTGCGACTTCGGAGGTACAATCCTACACTCTACGAAGTCGTAAGTTTCACTAAATTTCCAGTGCGAACTCGGAACTATAAAAACGTAAGTCGGATTTACCACCTAGCACCTAGCACCTTTACTCTACGAACTACGAAGTACGAAAAGCGGAAAAGACAAAAGTGAAACCGTCGAGACGAAACGATTCACAAAATTAAAGTCGGACTCGGAAATCGGAGGTGCGAACACTACGAAGTACGAGAACGAAGAGATGGCTGGCGGAAAAATGAAATTACTCAAAGAACGATTCACGAATGATACTGTGGTTATGCAGGGTGGCCAACATTTCCGTCCAAATATGCACGGTGCCAATCGGCAGTAAGCCAGTAGCAATAAACGAGGAAAAAAAATTTCCGATTCTTATCAAATCGAATCGAATCGAATCGAATCGGTCCGTCCAAGAATCGATTCAAAAAATCGATTTTTCGATATGAAAAAATCGATTCTTTGCAGAATCGATTTTTTTAGCACATCACTAGTCCTATACCAAAATGCAAGAATAATATCGATCGGGGAAATATTACGTTACTAAGCGAAATCGTAGTAAATAATTTGAAGGATCAAATTTCGAAATTTTGGCGCTTAGAAACTGTATTAAATGATAAAACGAATTATACAATGGAAGAGAAGGCTTGTCAAGCGTATTTTAATCAAACCGTTCGCCAAGGCGTAGACGGTAAATTTATTGTAAAATTACCATTTAAAACAGAAATAAAAGAAATAGGCAATTCTTACCCGGCTGCGCTACGACGGTTTTTTTCATTGGAAAAGCGATTTCAATTCAACCCTGTATTAAAATTAGAATATAGTAAATTTATGAAAGAATATATTGAATTAAATCATATGGATGTCGTCTTAGAAAACGAAGAAGAAAAAATCGGTGTAAATGACTATTTTTTACCGCATCATGCCGTGATAAATACAAATAGTACTACTACTAGACTGCGCGTGGTATTTGATGCGTCATGCAAAACGGACATAGGACTTAGTTTAAATGATGCGTTGTTAAAGGGTCCTACTATACAGGAGGAATTGATTACTATTTTGGCGCGTTTTAGAAAACATAAATTCGCGTTCTCCGCAGACGTATCAAAAATGTATCGCCAAATATGGGTGGACCCGCAGCAGCGTAGCTATCAAAAAATTATTTGGCGCGCAAATCCCGAAGAGCCACTGCGTACCTATAGATTGAACACGGTAACGTACGGGACGGTTCCAGCTTCATTTTTGGCGACCGGGTGTTTAGCTAAGTTAGCCGAAAAAGAATACCACATGTTTCCGGACGCCTGCGACGTTATTAAATCCGATTTTTACATGGACGACTATTTGGGTGGTGCGGACACCAAAGATAACGCGTTAAGGTTACGTAATTCGTTAATCGAAGTTATGCTCCGGGGTGGTTTTCCACTAAGAAAATGGATGTCAAATAGTTCCGAGCTACTCGCCGATATGCCCAATATAGGAAATAAATCAATGACCATAATCGAGCTTGAAAATAAAATGACTAAAATTTTAGGCTTATTATGGTGTCCGGAACGCGATGTTTTTAAATATAAAATTGAAATAACAACGCTCAACGATCTACCAGTTACCAAAAGAGATATATTATCACAAATCGCTTCATTATTCAATCCGCTAGGACTCGTTGGTCCTATAGTAATACGCGCAAAAATATTAATGCAAAAATTATGGCAATTACAATGCGATTGGGATAAGCCTGTACCGATTGTAATTCAAAAAGAATGGAAAAGTTATGTAAGTTCTTTAAATTATTTACGTGAATTAGAAATACCTAGATATCTTGGTACCGAAACTGACTATGAAATACAAATACATGGCTTTGCCGACGCTAGCTTATTAGCATATGGGGCATGTTTATACATTCGTTGTTCAAGTAATAAAAATGTACACGTCACCAAACTTATTTGCGCAAAATCAAAAATAGCACCGTTAAAAATAATATCCCTACCTCGCCTGGAGCTATGCACTGCCGTAATACTCGCGCGCTTAGCAAATAAAGTCTTACCGAAATTAAAATTAAATATAAAAAATAAATATTTTTGGACAGACTCGTCTATAACATTAGCTTGGATCACTTCCCCGTCGTCAAAGTGGAAAACTTTCGTGGCTCACCGAGTAAGTGAAATACAGGATATGACCAGGTTAAATGAATGGAATCACGTGAGCACTCAAGACAATCCAGCCGATTTAATATCGCGCGGTTGCGGGGCCGATCAAATAATAAATAATGATTTATGGTGGGAGGGCCCTCATTGGCTCGCCGATAATTCCGAAAACTGGCCAAAATCAAAGATCAACGTTAACGCCGGTATAATACCGGAAGCAAAAGAAAAAATCACTTTATTGATAGAACCCGTAAATGAAAACTTAATTAAAAATTATTCATCGTGGAATAAATTATTACGAGTGTTTGCTTATTGTTTACGTTTTATTAAAATCCGTGTCAAAAAACTTGAAGTCATTGGTCCTATTCAACTCGAAGAACTACGAGCAGCTGAAATTGCCGTTATCAAAATAACACAATCATACTACTGGTCAAGTGAAATAAATGGTTTAATAAATAATTCTATTCTGCCGAACAACAGTAAGTTGAGAAATTTGCAACCTTTTTTAGAAAATGGAATTATGAGAGTCGGTGGTCGATTAAAAAATGCTCTATATTTAGACCAATTTCAACGTAGTCCTATTTTAATACCTCAAAATAGCGCTATTGCAAATTTAATATTGCAAAATGAACATGAAAAATTGATGCACGCCGGTCCTCAAGCTATGTTGGCCAATACACGATTGAAGTATTGGATAATAGGCGGTCGAAATACTGCAAGACATATTTTTCATAAATGTATTAAATGTTTTAGACTCCGACCTATTATAGTGGAACCTATAATGGGAAATTTACCAGCGGAACGCCTAGAACCATGTCGAGCTTTTAAAAAATGCGGAGTGGATTTCGCCGGTCCAATCACAATCAAAACCAGTTTGAGAAAAAAGGCAGCAGTGACTAAGGGCTACATTTGCGTCTTCGTTTGTTTTAGTACTCGTGCTGTCCACATAGAACTTGTAAGTGATCTGACCAGCGATGCATTTTTGAACGCGTTAAAAAGATTTATTGGTCGTCGTGGTGTATGCTCTGATATATATAGTGACAACGCCACTAATTTCGTCGGCGCCAATAAAAAGCTTTCAGAGCTTAAATGTTTGTTCCAGTCAGCGACCCATTTGGACAAAATGTATAATGCGTTAGCAACAGAGGGTATTAATTGGCATTTTATCCCCCCCCGATCTCCTCATTTTGGTGGGTTATGGGAGGCTTCTGTAAAATCTATAAAAACTCATCTGTACCGGGTATTGGGCGAATCGCATTTGACATATGAGGAATTAAATACTATTTTAATAAAGATAGAAGCTGTCTTAAATTCTCGCCCACTCACTCCTCTTTCCTCCGATCCTATGGACGCGACACCATTAACACCAGCTCATTTCCTTATTGGTGAACCTACCTGTTCAGTACCTGAACCTGACTTGTCGTCTGTACCTGATAACCGCTTGAAACGATGGCAGCGCGTGACTCGACTTACGCAGTGTCTTTGGAAACGTTGGAATGACGAATACTTATCCCAACTACAGACCCGAAAAAAATGGTTGTCAAATAAAGGTCCAAATTTAAGCGTTGGTACTTTGGTACTAATTAAGGAAGACAACATAACTCCTTTGTCATGGTCTCTTGGTCGTGTAGTACGTGTGCAGGCTGGAGCTGACGGGGTCGTTCGAGTGGCTACTGTTTTGAGCCGCGGGAAGGAGGTAAAAAGGTCTGTCAGAAAATTATGTCCTCTTCCGTTCGAAGGTAATGTTTAGAATTCAATAAAATAAAACACATGTTTTTTGTTGTGTAATTATAATCGTAAAAAATTTTTTTTTTTATCTGTTAAATATTTATTAATGTAATTTATTTGAAATGAATTTTCTATTGTATCGTAATTCCAAATTTTGTAATTTATAATATTAATATTTTTCGATGTATTATAATATTTAATATTTGTTTAAAGTTTATGTTGAAAATTATTTAAATGTTTCAAGGCGGGCGGCATGTTGACGCGTATATTTTATCTGCCATTGTAAACCGGACTTTGTCGTATTATCGCTCGCGATAGTGAGCACTATGTAATGTCTAATAACATAAGAAGTCTAGTGTCAGTATGCGTTCGACTGCCAATCGCCACGTAAATAAATATATATTAATACCAAATAAACCAACTGTATTATAATATTCTTACACTAAAACAAATCTCATACAGTCCACAAATTAAAATTCGTAATTTAACAGTCCTCTTAAAAATATAGAAAAAAAAACAACTCTTTCTTCGGATTTGTCATTAGTGGAAAATTATTATATTCTAATACTATAACTATATTA